AGTTTTTCCCAAGTCCTTGCTGAGACATGAGTCCTGTAGTTCTCAGTATATTATCAAGTGGTGGTAGGCTGACTGGGTCATTATTTTATCGTGGCTTTTAAGGTTTATGTCTGAGTCCGTGACGACACGCGAGGTTTCTAGTTTAGTTTGTGGTTTAGAACGTTATCGATTGACTTCTAATCGTCCTTCCTTTGGCTCCGAAACAATCACTTCAGTTTTGTCTTTGTTTAATTGATGCCTGCAGAGAGGAAAAAAACACAAACTACAGGAGACAGAAGACACGAGGTTAACGATATGCAACCGTGGTGTATAAATGAGTGGAGAGAAGAAGTGCTCAGTGCATCATGGGAAGTTCTCCAGCAGGTTAAGGAAGTTCAGAGTCTTTTTAAGCTGCTATAAATATAAGTTTTATCAACAAGAAAAGTTGTAAGCCTGATTGTAGATGTAGAACTGATGTCTGAATCCTAAACTGGGAGCTGATCCCACAACAGAGGAGGAGGAGGAGGAGGAAACCCTTGAGGTCACAAATAAACCTGCATTTGGCATAGTATGGTACAATAAGGTCTTTAAGTTACGACGGAGCTTAGCCATCAGAAGCTTTGTATGTGAGGAGACGTCTGGAATCTACAGGGAGCCAGAGAAGAGAAGCTAATATGAGAGAAATATCATCTCTGTTACTGATTTCTGTCAGAACCCTGCAGCATTTTGAAACAAGTTTTTCAGCGAGTTTTCGGGACATTCTAATAATAAGAAATCACAACAGTCCAGTATGGAAGTAAAATGCATGGACCAGTTTCTCAGCATCACTCAGAGATGAGATGATTTTGATCAAACCGTGCAAGTGAAAGACGACCATCTTTCAGACTTGTTTTAGTCGAGCTGGGGCCAAGGCAGAGTAGCTAAATGCTTAGTGTTTTTCCGAGATGTTTCGAGGGAGCAGATGTGAGACTGTTCCGGCAACGGATCAATATCGGCTCAAAACGTACCAAATCCAGGGCGCTAGGATTCTGTAATGTGTTCATAGTTGTGCGTTAGAGTGCCAGACGGACTAAATCATGTGGCTCCTTCCTCTTGCACACAAGCCGGGCCCAAAGTTGGATTCTAATCTTAGCACTAAACCAAAGCTTTGACCATAATCCTGAGACAAGTGAGAACTTCCGGAGAGTTTTCTTCACCTTTATAACCCTGTGACTCATAAATAGCTGAGCAGAAACTTCCACCGCCCGAGACCCTTTTAAAGCACGTCTGCTCACATCTCTCTTTCTAACTGCGCCGTCATGAAACGCTAGCTGCCGACTCAGCACTCATTCTCATCATAATCTATTTAGACTTGCTGCTGAGAAGTAATTGAGTGTTTTTTTTTCTTTTCGTACTCTCATTGAGTCAGAAGGTTTATCTGCCCGCAGAGAAGCATCATCTGTGATAATCTACAGACAGATAAACGCGACGACTTCATTGGTGCAGTTTGAGCTCAGTTAACAAGGTTAGGAGCAGAGGCTGGAGAGTCGTCTGGATTCTGTGGGATGCTACAGTATCCTGGACTTGCTTTAAAAATGGAAGAAAACAAGATCACCTTTTTTGTTTTTGGCCTCCATTCTCTTATCGGGCTACGCTGGGTGTTCTGAGCTGTGTAAACCAAAAGCTGCTTTCACCCTGTTCACAAAAGTACTTCCTCCCTCATGCAGCCTTGTTAAGTCTTTAATATGTATTAATATGTGCAGGACCATTTCCTGAAACCCAAGCTGATGACATCTGTTTTTTGTTTGGTTCGTTATATTGGATTTACTCACATAAGATGAAGAAAAGGAGCACATCCTGTAAAATAACCTGCTGGAATATGAAGAATATCTGAACTAATAACTGATGATCAAAATAGTCGCAGCGGTCATTTCTGCAGCAAAATATTAATATTCTTTTTTTTTAGTTAAGGTCAAGGTCAGTTTTATTTCTATAGCACATTTAAAAACAACCAGAGTTGACCTTTACCGACTTATAATCAACACTAAAAAGAACATATATGAACATACAATGAAAACCACACACATATATATACAGCTCCCTCCATAATTATTAACACCCCTGGTTAAGATGTGTTCTTTAGCTTCGAGTAAATTCAGTTTTTCTCTAAATAATATAGGACCACAATGAAAAAAAAGAAGAAAATTCAACCTTTAATTCAAATGCATTTATTCAGTGTGAAAAAAAATCCCACATTAAAAAATAATTCTTTTACATCAAATCATGTGTGCCACAATTATTAGCACCTTTGATGTTAATACTTTGTACAATCCCCTGTTGCCAACAATTCATTTGAGTTGAGTTGAAGGTTGCATTTTTCAACAATTTTCAGTGTGAGAGTTTGCTTCTGTAATAAAAATGTAATTTATTTTAAGGCTTTTAACACATCTTAACCACTAATTATGGAGGGTGCTGTATGTGCATCCAGGATGTCAGCGCCCGATTGAGGTGAAAGCCACCGAGTAGAGGTGGGTCTTTAGCAGAGACTTAAAAGATTCAGCAGTCTGAGCAGTCCTAATGTCCAGCAGTAGGCTGTTCCATAGTTTGGGGGCTGCCACTGAAAAAGCTCGGTCACCTTTGGTCCAGAGTCTGGATCTGGGGACCTCCAGGACCACTCGGCTGGACGAGCTCAGTCCTTTGACAGGTTTGTGGACCTGAATAAGCTCTGATAAATAAAGTGGGGCCAACCCATTTAAACTTTTAAAAACAAGAAGTAAAACGTTAATATTCACATGATTACATCCCCAACACTTCACTAAACTCAGAGGTCTCTGTTTGAGTCCGAATTAAAACTTCAGTGAGTAATTCTTAGATTTTCTAAAGTGCTTTACATTAAAGCAAAAGTGCACCTGAGCAACTGCAGTGAACTGACTTTTATCTAACAATAAATCGAGGAATCTCCATCTGTCTGTCTGTCTTTTGCTTATGTAGTAGTTTTGGGAAAGAAAGAAGCAAAGAAAGACAAATGGCATGAGGAGTGTCCAGGCCACAGCAGAAGCTTTGTTGTCCACAACTGATGCACAATGTCAACTATCAAGTAGTTTTCATGAAGGATGCACATTTTGGGCCAAGCAATCATTCCAAAAGTAGTGCAGCAGTCAGTAGTTGAACCCGTATGTCTTAAATATGTGAAAATAATCTAGAAACATGTGACATGTCGACTAGCAACAGCGACAACTTTGACATCTGGCAACAGGCAAAGACCCGCTGAGGATACTGATGTGAGGGCGAAACAGAAAACAGCTTTTAGTCAGAATGATTGCTCATCCAAAGTACTTCAGACTCAACTCTGCACTTCTTTGGGTCTCCAGCAATACACCTTGTTATGTGTGGGGTCAGGAGAGCAGCCAAATGCAGACACAGAGGACAGCTTTCAAAATGAAAGGATGACCTTCAGTAGTTAAAGCTGATATGAGGAAGATCTTAAACAAAAAACAGGAAAACAAAAGCAGGGAACACAGGTAGACAGGATGAACTGACAAAGAATAGGAGGAGGAACACAAGACTAAACACACCAAGATACCTGGGAACAGGAGGAAAACATCAGGGATTCACAAGGTAGAGGCAAGACAATAAAACAAGCTCTGACGCAAGGACAGAGAATAAGATGAAAATAAACTGTTCTGATCCAAAGATGACATGTTTAACGGTGAATAAAAGTAGAAAAACACAAACAGATACACACATAGACACAAATATTCCCTTATTTGTTAGTCAGGTAAAGTCTAAAACAAACCACACAGGCTCTTAAAAAGTGAAGTATTCAGATATAACCCATACCTACATTTCTGTGTTTGGAAGAACAGGTTTATTTTATAACAGGTTTGGTTCTGTTGGTTACTTTAGCCTCCATTGACTCACAATATTGCCCCTTAACTTACAGTAATGTAACATAAATTAATTCAAATGTCTGTCACTGTTAGTTTCATCCTAATGAGGGGATTTCCTCGTGTCTCACACCTCTAACATCCTCGTCACACCTTCACACAAGCTGCTATTTTATCAGACTTATACTCTTTCTTTATGCGGCCAAAAAATGTAATTTGATACATAAAAACATTGAGATGGATTTTTCCAAAAATCTCCCTCTTCTATTTGGAACAAAGTTAATGTTATTTCTCAGTCTTTGCATTGATCATTCCTCTGTAGTCACACCAGCTCTTTAATGGCCTCGCAGCCATTAATATTAGATACACTTCCCTTCACCCCACAGTGCAAATATGATGAGCCAGCCTGACGCGGCTGCAAGGAAACAAACACTGAGCTGTGTGAACATCCGTCTGGGATTCAGATATCACAGAAAGAGGGTAGTTTCAGTCGGAGTAGTTTCAGAGAGGGAGCAGTTTCAGCATAATGCGTGAATGACGGTAAAGATGGCTGCAGAAATATGTAAAAACATACAGTACGCTGAAAAAAAAGTGCAATTTCAGTAATAAAATAGTGTATAAAATAACACTGCTCCTCTGTACTGTTTGTTTGTTTGCTTTTATGTCATCGTGGAAGCATGTTTTTCAGTGAAGTCATGACAGCAGATATTCTCCTGAGTGAGATTAGCTTCAATATGAGCATAGTAACAGAGATGCTGGCTTACAACCCATTATGTCTGGGAGGGAGAGCGAGAGAGAGAGAGAGAGAGAGGGGGAGAGAGGTGAGGCAGAGAGAGGAGGAGGGTGTGACAAAGACACAAGAGCAAAAGGAATCATCGTCCACACACACAACACTGAATCCAGATTTTGGTCTCTCTGCTGTAATTTCCACCACAGTGCTGCTCGTCACTGGACTCGTCTGTTTTTTCCAAGTTTGTGTTGGACTAAAACTGCATTTTGTGTATTTTCGCCGCTGTGTTGGAAGATGCTCTGACCGAGGCTGCACATATTTTCCTCTGAGAAATGTGTGAGCGGGTTTCCCTCCACGTTTCTGCGACATTTGCTCATTTGCGTGGACATTTAGTGGGTGACGGTGTGTGAGGGAGCTGTGTGGACATGGCAGGGGACCTTGTGGTCGGGATCCTCTATAACTTGTTACTGCCACTGCTCCTGCTGATCGGTGAGTTGGTGCCGCTTTCATTATTTTATTCTCTGGAATTTTTGGTGATAGAAACTACATTTCCAATGTTATGGTTGTCTTAGGTGTAGTTTCAGGTCTTCTTATGTTAAAAGTGAGATCAGAGTCATTTTCAGGTGAACATTGATGCCAGCATATCGTTATGATGAGCTGTGGTTCGGCTAGCTGTGTGAAAGTGAGACATTTGCTGCATCCACGCTGAAAAACAGTATTTAATGCAACAGTTTGCATGAATTGTTTTGAGTTACAACAACTTTTAATGAATTTATGTTCAACCAACAAACCAGACTAAGTTACGGGAAGCAGCTTGACCTCTACAATTAAACTATTCTTAATTACCCGGCTGAACCGTCTCATATTGTCTCAGTATGATGAGATCAGAGAGGAGACCTGAAATCCTGAACTCCAGGTGAAGAAAAATGAGGTTTCATTGAAGTTTTCTCAACTTGTATTTAGTTTTCAACGCAGAAATTTGACTTTAAATCACACACAATACTAGGTTCATGCAATTAAGAGCAATATTATGCCAACGCAACCCATCAAATAATGTTTACAACTTAAATAGTTCATCTAAATGAGGAAATTTGACTTTTTTTTTTCTTTTCTTTTTTAAAGTCTTGCAGCAATGCATTTAATTAAGTGCTAGGAATATGTCCCTTGAACAACTTTTTGCAGTGTAGCACTTTAATCTCAGTGATTATTTGTACTTTTATGAGGTTCTTTCATATGTTTAAATGCATGAAGCCAACCTTTTGCAAGAGGCAGAGTGCTGCCAGTTCCCAGCTTTGTAGATGACCGCGGATATACATGATTCTTATTTATCTAAGCAATTTTTTTTCATAACTGCTGCGACTTGAAGACTGTAATGCACTGTGTAACTTTTACTCATTAATGTTTGAATTTGGTCCTGAGGTGCACTTTTACTTTTGTAGGCGACGCTCATTTGCTAATTAATAACATTCGATATGAAGTTATAGGTATGCTGTTGAATTAAATATATAATCTCCTTTGTCATCTGCTATTCCTAATAATAACGGTTTCCTGCAGTCGAACATTGTTTAAACTCTCACAATCCTCTTTCTAACTGACATTTTTAGGGTTTTGGAGGATTTTGATGAATATCGGCTGAATTATAGGGAAAATAATGACCAAAGTAAGAAACAAAAAAAATGCACAAACAATGAGGATAACATAGTGGTTGGTTGAATTAAAGACTTTATTTCTCACAAATGATTGAAGTTTAACTAGTTTACAGTGAATAAATAATAATAATAAAATCCGAAGAGACACTATGGAAGACTTGAGCAGTTTTTATCAGCATATTTATTAGAATCACAAGGCTCGTAATGAGGTTCTCCATTTAATACAAAATGAAAGGTTAAAAATGATGGAACCACTTGTTTTCACTTGACAAGTGAATTGATTGATTAATTCATTTCTTCTATCAAACACATTAGTCATTTGTTCTTTTCTCCTCTTTCTTAGCGTCTTCGTTCCGCTACAATGGCCTGTCGGTGGTATATTTTGTGTTTTTGCTCACGTTGCCGCTGCTGCCGAACCCGAGTCTGGCCACCATGAAAGGTGAGTGCATTTAGGACTTTTAATTTCTTTATTTTCTTTATTTTTTTCACCTTTAATTTCTTTCCCAAATTTGAGTCTATTATATTTTATGCATTTTAAGACGGTCACATTAAAGTCAGAGTATTCCATAATGAGGGAATAATACTTTTACAGAGACTAAAAGTGGCAGCAAAGAGCAAAAACTTTCATCTAGGGAGGTATTAAATTAATATTATGAATCTTGACTCTGAACCGATTTGCATGTATAGAAAGTTCTGCACCTCTATGGAAACCGCACGAGCATGACTAGAAGTAGAGAGAACTGTCTTTGTGCAGTGTAACAATCAATCAAACTGAATTTGAACTGAAGCAAAAATTTGACTCAACATGTACATATTTACTATCTTATGTATTTTGCTCTTTTAATTTTTATTTTACCTTACATCGGGCCTTTTATACTTTAAAGTTTTTGGTTTTTGACTCCAGTGCTTCCTTAGGGGGGGTCCTCCACACTGGGGGTTGTGTGAGGTCCGCTGCCGGGGGTGCTGTCTGTGGGTCCCTTCGGCCCAGCTGGTTGGGGGGCTCCCCACCTCGGTGTGGGGTCCCCTTGTCTGTCGGGGTCAAGGGGGTCTGGGTGCCGGCGCCCCCAGTGGTCATGGTCTGCGACTCCTCCTGGTGTAGACGGCCGCATTTGGTGGCGTTTCCCACGAGCCTCAGTGCCATGACATGACTCCATATGGTCGGTGGTGAGAGTGTGTGTGCGTGTGTGTGTGTGTGTGTGTGTGCGTGCGTATGTGTGCGTAGCCGTATGTGTATACATGGAGGATGGGAAGGACGGGTTTTCTTGTCTTTTTTCCCCTTTTTCTTTCTTTGACAATGTTTTTTATGCTGTAAAGTACTTTGGTCTATGTATGAAAAGTGCTATATAAATAAAGTTTGATTTGATTTGATAAACATGTGTAACTAATACTGAAAAATGGAGGCTCTACACAGTCCCTGAATTTCTATCATATGATTGGTGATTGCATCTAAATCAGCCATGGCTGTAAGGTTGTGCTGAGGAAGGTAAAAAAAAAAAAAACAAACAAAGAAAAGAAGAAGTTATTGGTCGATTTAAGATAAAATCTTTGTCTGATTTTGATAAAATATCACTGCTAATCTTAAATTTGGTAACATTTTCCGATGGAATGGCACGATTACTACAAAGATCATTGGAAAGCTGAATATCCATTGATTCATTCTGTCTTCACCATTTGAAAAGTCTGAAAAGTGGTGTAATTTAGACTTTTTTCTCCCTCCCCCTTTTTTTTAAAGACAGCATCCCTCTCTGCTGGTGTCAGAAGGTTAATTATTTCCTTTGACATTCTGTGTAAAATTTAAGGTTTTATATATTTTATACACTATTTGCTTCTATGTCTGCATTAGAGACACTAATCCAAACTCAGGATAACTTATTCAAACTGAACATTCACTTTGTAGCTTGGGTTGTTTTAAAGCCTTCTTCATTTGACTCTCACTGTGGATCTGTGGAGTCCCAGAGTCTTAGAAATCTCTTTGAAAACCCCAGACTGATGTGATTTTAGTTACCTTTATCCTTAGCTCTTATGGAATTTCTTTAGATTTTGACAGAGTATGACCTCTTAGCCAACGCCATGCGTCTGAAAATGATCCATTTAAGTGTTGATGTGATTGACCAGGCTTGGTAGTCATCAGATCAGGGTGTGTTCTGGTCCAGTTGCAAGCAATTACCACCACAATTGGTATAACCTTTTGCATGGTTGTGCTTCTCTTTGTGTTAGTTCTGCAATAAACTGGCGACCTGTGCAGGGTGTAGCTGTAACAGCCTTCCAGGATAAAGCAGATACAGCAATTTGTTTTAATTTTTATTTTTTGAAGATCTGCCATAATTTAGCATTAATTTCATACAACATCTAGATAAACACAACATATAGCTCATTTTATGGTATCTTACACCCCATTTATTGCTCCATGAAGACAGAAAAAAGATGAAAACAAATTTTTAAATTGTCAAAATCTGACGTGGAGAGAGACACGGAGGCGTCAGAGGTAAAGCACGACGATATCGAGTTAGACGAAAAAGTGTGCGTATGTGTGCGTGGCCTCTCTGTATCGATCACTGCATTCTGATGAATTAAAGTATCTGCACCCCTCCCTCAAAGTACTTTGTAAAGGGGAAGCGGGCCGAACGGTCAGATCAATTATACATAGCCTGGTAATTACAGCGAGGAATTAAAAGATGTGATGTCAGCATTTTGACAGCGTCCCTCCCCTCCATCTAAAAACTGTTTGCCTTTCAGTCTGTCTTTGAAAGCCTCGTGGATTCCCAGTTACCTTCACCCCCCTAATATGATCCTGCTCTCCTTGGACTAAGTGGTGAAGCCTGTGCATATCTCCTGTGTGGGCGTCATGTATTTTTGTGCATATAGCCATAGTTGAGTGTGTGTGTGTGTGTGTGTGTGTGTGTGTGTGTGTGTGTGTGATTATGTTAACTTCCATATTGGGAAGCTGAGAGGTTTAAGTGAAACAATGCTTTTAGTAAAAATTGTGAACATCAACAACACATTTGCTGCCTCAGCTAATGTTGAGCCACATCAGCTATTAATGCGTTGTGTCTCCAACCTTTTGATTATTCTGGAGTCAAACTCCAGACTGAGATTATAAAGATACATACAGAGGAATTTGAACAATCTGAACTCGTACTTATGTGTATTTTTTTATTTTTCGATTGTTACATTTTTACATAATCACACCCTCCCCCTTGCTTGTAAAAACGGAAATTTCCACACTGTGGGATTAATAAAGGCTCATCGTATTGTATCATTTCGTATCGTATCGTATCGTATCCAATCATATTGTTTCGTATCGTCTTGTATCGTTTCATATCGTATCGTTTTGTATCGTATTGCTTCGTATTGTATCGTATCATCTCGTATCGTATCGCTTTGTATTGTATATTGTTTCATATCGTTTCGCATCGTATCGTCTCGTATCATTTTGTATCATTTCATATCATATCATTTTGTATCGTCTCGTATCGTTTTGTATTGTATCATATCAGATTGTATCGTTTTGTATCGTCTCGTATCATTTCGCATCGTATCGTATTGTATTGTATCGTATAGTATTGTATCGTATTGTATCGTATTGTATCATTTCGTATCGTATCGTTTCATGAACTTATTTGAATTTACAACAAAAACCATTGCCCAGCTACCTGTTTTCAGCATTTAATATACTTAATGAACTGTCTTAAATTGACTGTGCAAAAGTTATAAAAGCTGTTAAAAGTTTTAAAGCGAGAAAGATTTCAAAAATGATGCTGTCATCCATGTTTTTGTCTGAAACAAAGCAGTGTGTGTAGAGCATTTATTTGACACTTTTATAGGAATGCTTGCCTTACACACAGGAAACTAGCTTAAATACTCAGACCAGAATATAAGACAAAAGTAGTAAAATTTCAAACATTACCAAGTGAAAATACTGAACAACGTCTTAAAGAAATGCATAGAATCCATCAATAACTGCTTTTTATGTGTGTTTGCGTGCCATCAGAGCTCACAGAGTAGCATGTTTGGTTTATCAAAGGTTAGAATCTCCTTAAAGTCATTTGAGAAGGAGGAAACATGTAGGTGAGTTGAATGAGGGAAACCTTCCACCAGTACCTCTGGTGCTCCCTGCTAGAAAGTTTGGCAGCACCAGCAACCAGCATGGCAATTAAACCGTCATGCAATTCAACACAATTGTATTTTTTCATTTTAACTGTATTACTGATAAATGATAGTAC